ATTTTTCAAACTCTATAGAATTTAAAAGGCAAGGGCACACCCAGTACTACCTGCCCTCACAACCAAAGACACAGAAAGAGAAGAAAACCACAAGTCAGAATCCATGATGAACACATTGTAAAAACCCTAAGCTAAATACCAGGAAATCAAACTCAGGAACACATTAAAAGGACTGTATACCACAACTAGAAAGATTTTTTTTTTAAATCTAAAATGCAAGGATGGCTCAGCATATGTGAAAAACCATGCATCACCGTAAGAAAATGAAGGGCTAAAAAGCGCATGGTCATCTCAATGACTGCAGAAAAAGTATTTGAGCAAAGGCGGCATCATTTCATGACAAAATACTTGACAAACTAACAATAGAAGAAAGCCACTATCGAACAATCTAAAAAAAAAGAAGAGAAAAGCCTACAGCTAACATACTCAATAAGAACAGCGAAAGCCTTCCCATAAGGTCAGAAACTGAGTAAAGATGCCAAATGCTGCCAATTACTCCTAGACATAGTGCTGGAAGTTCTAGATAAAGCGATTGCATAAGAAAAAGAAATACAGCCAGAAGTTTGGGACACAATAAATAAAATCATTCCTAGCCTCAGATGAAGAGATCCTATATGTACCAGTCTCCAAGGAACACACATGCATGCATGAATTGACAAGTGTATGTAGTGTACACACAAATCTCTGTGTGATAATAAATGAATTTAGCAAAATTTTAGGATTCAAAATTAATGGTCAGAGGCTGGAGAGATGGCTCAGTGGTTAAGAGCACTTACTGCTCTTGTGGAGGACCTGAATTAGGTTCTTAGAACCTATGTCAGGCAACTCACAACCCCTGTGAGTCCAACACCAAGGGCTCTAATGCCCTCTTCTGGCCTTCAAGAACACCCACATATATACACATGCATACATACACATAAACAAATAATAAAAATTAAACAAATAAAGGACAGCAAAATGAGTAATCTACTACTTAACAACAACAAAACCCAAATGTCTTGGTTTTAAAAATGAACACAGGAATTAAAAAGATAATTTATCAAAGAATATGTACAAATGACTGATAACCAGTGGTAAGATGGTGAGTGCGTTCATTACTTTTGTTGCTGTGATAAAACACCATGACCAAAAATGAAGATAGAGTTATTTTGGCTTATGGTGCCAGAGGGAGAGTCCATAATGGCAGGGAAGGCATGGCAGAAGGAACAGGAAGTAGGCTGATCACATTTCATCAGCACACCAGGAAGCAAAGAGAGTAAACTGGAAGTGGGTGAGGTTCCCTGTGGCATGCACACCTCATAAAAGTTCCATAACCCCCTCAAACAGCACCATCAACAGGGGACCAAGCATTCAAATACATAAGCTTATGGGGGATATTTCTCAGGTTACACCAGTGAGCATCACTAATTGCTCAGGAAATATAAGTCAATGCCATAGTGAGATGCCATTTCACACACAATAGGGTGACCACATTTAAAAACAAAGAAAATAATAACTGTTGGTGAAGATTTGGAGAGGTGGTAAGGAATTCCTGAGCACTGTTGATGGGAGTGTAAAATGGAGCAGTTGTTAAGGACAGCAACATGAAGCATTCTCAAAAAATTAAGAGAGGAGGGGTTAGAGAGATGGCTTAGTGGTTAGGAGCATGGGCAACTCTTGTTGAGGACCTGGGTTCAGTTCTCAGCACCCACCTGGTGGCTAACAAGCATCTGAAACTCCAACTCAGGTGATACCATGCCCTCTTCTGGCCTCTGAGTGCACTGCACACAGGTGGTACTATATGCATCCAGGCAGACACCCATACACATAAAATAAAAATAAAGAAACTTTAAAAATTAAAAGAGGCTGGGAGTGGTGGCACACACCTTTAATCCCAGCACTTGGGAGGCAGAGGCAGGCGGATCTTCGTGAGTTCGAGACCAGTCTGGTCTACATAGTGAATTCCAGGAAAGCTGGGGCTACAGGGAGACCCTGACTCAAAAAGGAAAAAAAAAAAAATATTAAAAGAGGAAGACATTCTACTTCTGGGCATATAATCCAAAATTAAATTCAAAGCAGGATTCTGAAGAGGTATTTCCAGACCTATTTTTCTCATAACAATATTTATATTAGCCAAGAAATGTGCACACTTTAATTGTCTAATAACAGATAAGTGGATGAAGTAAATATGTCATGGGTGTGGTGTCATAAGCCTGTAATCCCAGCATGTGTAAGGTGGATGATCAGGAGTTCCAGGTCATCCTTGACTACACAGTGAGCTCAAAGCCAGCCTGGGCTACATGAGAGTCTATCTCAAACAAACAAACAAACAAACAAAACCAGAGGGGAAGAAAAGAGATGTATTATACATATTCAGTGGAGTACTATGCAGATTTTAAAATGTAGGAAATTCTGTCCTTGTCTATAACATGCAGAAACTTAAGGATATTCAGTTAACTAGAATAGATCATAATGGGATAAATACTATAAATGGGTACGACAATGAACAGCACAGACAACAAAATAAAAACAAAGTAGGAATACATTAAACTTATAAAAATGCTTACGAAGAATCTAACGTAATTTAAAACATAGAAACAGAAGCCAGAAAAATGTCTACCAAGATTTAGGAGGAGTGGTGAAGGAGTTAGCATGCGTGAATATAGAAATTTGATGTTTCAAAAAGGAAAAAAAAAAAAGAAAAACTGTTACACTGTACTGTTTAGGAATGTGAAGGAATAAGATATCTCAACATGTTCAGTACAGACCATTTTTTCCCCTTGATGGGGAACATTAGGTGTAGGTAAAAGTGATGAACAGATATTAAAACTACAAATGCAAAGACACTATGTCTCTTAATTGAAGTAAATAACGCCATCTATAAAATATTTTTGCAGAAAGAGTTCAGAATTTGATCCAGGTAGCTTAGGAAATTTACAGTAAATACAGAGAGGAGTGTGCCCAGTGACACTCATGGATGGAATCGGTGAGGTCCAGGCTGGCTCAGTGGTGGGAAAGGCTCAGTGGTGTCTCTAGGAGAGATGGTGCAGTGGTTAAGAGCACTGGATGCTCTTGCAGAAGGTCCAGGACCAGTTCCCAGCATCCACACTGCAGCTCACAACCATCTATAACTTCAATTCCAGGGGATCCAACGTCCTCTTTTAGCTTCCACAGGCACTGCATGCAGGCGGTGCACTTTCATATATACAGGCAAAATAGTCATACACATAAAAAACCAAAATAATCAAGAAGATTTTTAAACAGTGACCAGATAGCTAATGAGTTAAATTCTCTCACTGGTCATGGTGGCGCGAATTCAAGTTCAGCCTGAGCTACATAGTAATTTTGAAATCTTTTCTCTACCCTCCTATGTTTACTGTGGCACTATTCACATAGGAAAGACATGGAATAACCTAAGTGCCCACCAACCTATGAATAAATAAGGAAAATGTAGTACATATATGCAATGTAATACAATTCAGCCACAGAAATGGATGCAGTCCTGTCATTTGAGCAACATGGACAGAACTGGGGATCACTGTATGTGAAATAAGCCAGGCACAGGAAGGGGAGCACTGTGTGGTCTCACTCCTTTACAGAATCCTCCTGAAATTGATGTTATAGTTCTTGAGAGAAGAATAGTGGCTATGAGATGATGCATACTTTAGAGGGGGGATGATGGGGAAGACAGACACTGAGTGACAGATACAATTGAGAAATTCTGGTGTGCAATTATGCAGCAGGGTGACTGTAGATAACAGTAGTGTGTTGTGGTTTTTATTTATTTGTTTGTTTTTTCTTTTGAGACAGGTTCTCATGTAGCCCAGGCTGACTTCAAACATGTTCACATAGCTGAGGCTGGTCTTTAACTCTTGATCCTTCTGTCTCCACCTTCCAACTGATGGGATTATAAGTGTGTACCACTGGGTCCAGCTCTGTATATGTTATAGAGCTAGAAAAAAGGATTTTGAGTGTTTTTTTTTAACCACAATAAATAAGTGTTTTAAAAGACAGGTATGTTTAACCTAATTTATATATTATAGACTATAAATCAAAACATCACACGATACTCCATAAATATGTATACATTTTGTCTTTATCTATAAATTAAAAATAAATTTAGGAGCCGGGCATGGTGTCACATGCCTTTAATACCAGCATTTGGGAGGCAGAGGCAGGTAGATCTCTGTGAGACTGAGTCCAGCCTGGTCTACATAGCAAGCTCCAGGTCAACTGGGGTTACAGGAAGACCCTGTCTAAAAAAAATGAAATAAAGTAAAAATAAATGAATTTAGGGGCTGGAAAAATGGCTCAACACTTAAGAAAGCTTACTTGTGGAGAATTACAGTTCAGTTCCCAGCTCCCACATCAGGCAGCTCACCACCACCTGTAACTTCAGCTCCAGGGGATCCAATGCCCTCTTCTGGTCTCTAGGAGCAGTGCACTCACAGAGACACATACACTTACCTGTCAATTAAAATCTTTAAACAACAAATACATTTAGCATCAAACACAGTGGCACATCCCAGCACTCAAGAGGCAGAAGTAAGGGGATCCTGAATTTAAAATCAGTGTGGAATACATCAAGAGTTCAAGGCCAGACTATTTTACATAATGAGAACTTATCTTTAACAAGACACATTTAAAGTGGGTTAAAGAAATTCCCTTTTACTCTCTACACACACAGCTATCTCTGTGTGAACGATAAATGATATTGTGAGCAGGTTTTTGCAAAAGTATTTAACCTACTTATTCACATAATATGTAATATATATTAAACGAAATTCCAACACAGTTGTGCTTTGAGATTACCAGGTGGAATACAAGAACTGTGAATGGAGCTGAGGGCCTGGAGCTGACGCTGAGGCCATATGGGCACAGGGAGGTAAAGTCAGGGATCTGGTGCATCCTGAACTGTGGTGCTCTCACGTGTAGTGACTGTCTGACCCCTCAAATTCAAAGACGGGCTTAAGAAGTAACCACCACCCTCCCCACCAAACCCAACAGAAAGTGCGACTTACGTTTTTCTGGCTGATAGATCAGGTTCCAGTACATCATATGAAGAGTTATCAGTGCCATAAATACAGACAAAAATGGAAGAAGGATAACCACGGCCCAGGGCCCTGAGAGCTGGATGTATGAGATGCCCAGAAAGACAACAACTGCAGTTAGGTTCGTGAACCAGGAGACCCTGTGTATACAGAGAAATGAGAGGAAAAGCACCATGAATTATTTTACAAAATAACTGCTAGTTTTTAATGCTTTTTTTCACATGTGAACTAACTTGTGCCAGGTACCTGGATGGGATTTTACAAATAGTATTGCTTCAATTTCTTAACAAGGGGTGTCTTGTCAGCTTCATTGTTCTTATTTCTATTTAGAATATGGTAGGAGCACTGTGCTGGACAGTTTCAGTTTTCAACTTGACACACCCGGGAAGGGGGAGCAGCAATTGGGAAATTTCCTCGGATGGGCCTGTGGGCATATCTGTGAGGCATTTTTTTGATTGTTGAGTGATGTGGGAGGGCCCAGGCCAATGTGGGTGGTGCCACCCCCTGGCAGGTAGGGCTGGCTTGTGTAATAAAGCAGGCAGCAGGCAGCACACAGGTCAGAGGAGGGAGCCAGTAAGCATTCTTCCAGTCTTTGTTTCAGTTCCAGCCTCCAGGTTCCTGCCCTGCTTAAATTCCTGCCTTGGCTTCCCTCAATGATGGACTGTCTCTTGAAAGAGTGACACGCCCCGCCCCCAAGTTTTTTTTTAGTTAGTGTTTTTGTCATAGCAATGGAAAGCAAACTAGGACAAATATGTTCTTTTCATCTGCACAGGAGGTCAATGTACATTTTCTGTCAAGAGTCCTATGGGACAAAGGTCAAGCTTGGTAGGTCCAGCAGTTTCTTAGGCAGCAACTGAAGAATCTACAGACAACACCTAACCAGGCATATACTCCTGTGAACCAAGAAAATACCTATCAGAGTTGGACATTCCTGTATATTCCAAAGTACAAGAAAACAGACAACGTAGCATTCCCAATTTAAGCCCAGGTTAGGCATTAAGCCAAAGAAATGAGTGAGGTTTGAAAAATAAATTCCCCTTACCTTCCTAACAATCAGTATCACTACAAGATATCTACCCTGTAGTTTAGTTTGCAAATTATTTCTAGCAAAACACTTTCAGCTCTCAATCTTTCATTGGGTCTGCATCTAGCATCCAGACCCTACTGCACTAGGTTCCCATGACATAATCTTAGCATGTTAAGTTAGAAGTTTGTTATTGAGGAGCTAGAGAGATGGTTCAGCAGTTAAGAACACTGGCTGCTCTTCCAGAGGACCCAGGTTATGTTCCCAGCATCCATGTGACAGGTAACAACTTTTTGTAACTCCAGTTATGGCGGATCAGATGCCTTCTTCTGGCCTCCAGGGGCATTGCATGTGTGAGTGCACTTACATATATGCAGACAAAACAGTCACATACATAAAAATATATAAATAAAAATTTTAAAAATTGTTATTGAGGCTTAATTAAATATACAATTTTCTCTTTTAAGTATAAAGTTTTTTCTTTCTTTTTTCCCCCAATCATAAAATTTTTATTATGTGAATTTTGATATTTCAATTGTGCAAATACTGTTAGAATTAAGCTTTGATGTACTTACATTAGTACTAAAAATTTAAAGGCTTTACTTGCATAATTTCTCTTTTCCTTAACTCAGTATCCCATTAGACAATTACCCCTATCGAATCCACACACTTTTCATCTTTGTAACCTGCTCATGGAGCAATATCCTGTGTCTTTGCTGCAGGTCACCGGACACAGGTTGTACTTGTGTTCAGGGGCACGTGTCTGTACAGAAGTGATCTTTTGGGGCTTAACACGGCATGATCACCCCATCTTCTAATTAATGTTTTCCTTCCTTCCTCTTCCTTCTTCCTCCAGCTCCATCCCCCTACCATGCCCCTCTGGTTGTCTTCCCTTCCCCTTCCCCCTCCTCCCTCCCTTCCTCCTCTTCTTCCTGTCCATTCTACTTTACCCTCACTTTCCACACGTCCTCTTATCTCTGTCCCCATCTCCCTCCCTTCTCTCCCTCTTCCGTGTCCCTCTCCCTCTCTCCCCTCACCCCTTCTCTTCCTTTCCCCCCCTTCTCCACTAGAGCTATGGCTGCACTGGATGTTATTTGGGTATGGGTGCCCTGGAGTTTGGAAGCACTGGACCTCTTAACGCTTTGGAGCTGTAAATGCACTGGAATTCTGCACACACCAGAACTCTTGGTGTACTGAAAATATGGATGGATGGACCTCTGGTGCACTGGAGTTCTGACACATTGGATCTTTGGACATGCACCCAGATCTCTGGATATCCTGGAGCTCTGACTGTCTCAGTGCAGAAGATTACTAATTGGCTCTTACTGGTCTCTACCACGTGGCCTCAGCTGGGAATCAGTGTCTTTGCTTTTGTTGGTATGTGTGTCAAATATTAGATGCTGTTCCTCATTGCTAAAACTATGGGGCTAGTGAGACAGTTGTTGAGGCAGTGTTTCATAGTGTTTGACTGAAGTAGGGCAGGCATTGTGAAAATGATTGTGTTGGGCAATGCTTTTCCTCATATTTTCACCATCAGGAAGTCTCTTTTTGGAGAGTCCCTCCTAAGTCTGTCGACCTCCAATCCACTTTCCTGTCAATCCTTCTGACTCCTGGTCCACACTCCCCCACCACCATCATCACTGTCCACAGCCTCTTCCACCTTCCATCTGTCACCCTCCTCCTCATCATCAAACCCTTCTCCACACTACCTGTCCACCACATTTACTGCATACACTGTTGCCCGTTCCTCCCACACCCCTTTCTACCATCTCCCCTTCCACCCACTTGACCCAACCCCACTCCACAGCTTCACTTCACTGTATATTTGCAACCCACCCACTCACCTCCCCAGTATGCCCACCCTCCCATCCACACCACTTCCACCCACCCACCACCCTGTCAACACACCACCCCTACCGTCAACCTGCCAGCCTCTGCCTTCTCCACTCATCCTACCCATTCCCTCCACATATCCCACACTCCCATAATACCCTTTCACAAGCCCCCATCAGCCCTATCGGCACCCCACCTCTACTATCCCTCTAGCCTTCCATTTACCACCCTCCTGCACCTCCCTCCCTCCATCCCTCCCTCAGTGATTCTGCACACACCTCGTCTACATACCCCTCTACCAGTAACCGGCTATTCTCCCCCTCTCACAGCCTACCCTACTGCCCACACCCCTCCATATACCCCAACACGCTCATCAGCATCTCCATCTAGTACCCCACTCCACATCTCCTCTGCCCACCTGCCAACCCCCCTTCCACCCACTCCATCTGCTGCCTCTACTCATACCCCAAACTCTGGTCTACACCTCCTATACACACACATCTCTGTCTACACCCTCCAACTCCCCTTCACTGTCCACCATCATCCAGCCCCCCATCTATCTAGGTAACCCTCTCCTCACACCTGACCCTCTCTTCCATAACCCTTCACACCCTGCAAATCACCCAGTGATTTGCTATCAAATAAATTCTCAGCAGGGTAACATGGATAATTCTTTCTTACATAGATATTTGGATATTCTAGAAGAAGTTATTGAAAAGATGAGCTTCACCTCATTTTTTAAAATGCCCCCCAAATGAGGTAAAGAATATCTTGTCTTTTCAATAAATTCTGGTAGACCATGTGAATCTTAGGTCTATTTTCAAATTCAGCTCTGTTTCACGATTCTTATGCCAATACCATATTGTTTTGATTACTGTTATATTTTATTATTTTTAACAGCTCTATTGAGATAGAATTAAGGTATGATGAACAGCATTATGTAAAATGTATAAATTGGTAAGTTTTGAAAACACCACATTCAGGACAATGCCAGAGCCTGAACTTGCTTCTTGGCCCTTTGTAATTCCTCCTCCCTGCTTTTTAAACTACCTCTTATCTATCCCCAACAAACATTGATCTTCCCTCTGGCACTATAAATGACATTGCAGTGTAGCAATTGAGTTATGCATATCTTCTATCAGCTTTTCTTTGCTTAGCATAATCATTTTGAGATTAATCCATACTGTTTTTCTTTTTTTAATTATTTATTTAATAATCACATACTTAGAAGAAGCATTTCATTACAACAGCATTGACATATTCAATAACAATTTTCTGAGCTAGGATGCATCTTTTTCAAAATTGGCTGTACATTTTTAGGTTTACAGTTGAATTATTACGGTTATACAATATTGTACTCAGTATAAACCCTATAAGACCTAAAATTAAATGAGGTTTTAAACTTTAAAAAAGATCTCCGTTTCATTATTAAAATACACAGTTTCATACAGAAAAATTCATTTTTAATGCTCATGCATTTCTACTCTCTATATATCTGATTATTACTAGTCACAGTCAGTAACTTTCTGAGCTCCTTGGTACCTGAGCATGGATACAAATCATCAGGCAGATTTCAGTGGTAATGTTTTTCACCTCCACTAATTAACATGAAGCAAATTTCTATGCTTCTTCCTCAAAC